TGCATGCGTAACACTTTCCCACACTTGACTGTTGCTGTTGTTGTCTGTTTCAACGTCTGGTTTCAACATCCTCCAAGGCATCTCCATCAAGATTGATTTGGTTGACACATGTAGTGTTGTTTCAGAGGATCGTGCTCCACCCTCAGCTCCTAAGGGGTCACTGCCGGTCCCACGCCCTGGCCAAGGAAGTGTGTTGGGCATGGGTTAGGCGGCTCCATTATTAATTTAAAGTCTATTTCTAACTATCTTATTTACTTCTGTTATCCCTTGTGAAGAATGGGCCACCAATCAGTAATTTCTATTCTACTCCTTTCGAGGCTCTTCTTTCCAATAGTTCCCAAATGCTCCTCCTTTTGGGATTGGCAGTTACTCTGCAAGGGTTTCAGGTGAAGTTACTGGTTAATTTTTTACTCACTATATAATTTCTGAAATACCACATGATTTTTTTAAACTAATATAGCACGAAACTTTTGACCTTCAAGAAGAAAATTTAATTAAACTTATATGAATGCAATCGATGGTTCAACTTGTTCTTCTAACTTTAAACAATATATCATACTAATTTTTATGAAACAAAATCGAATCCTTAAATGATTTTAAGTAATGAAATTCATTTGATTTGTATTGTATATCTAATTGACCTTTAATAGTCAGAAAATGATCCGTTTACAGATAGTAAAGATTGTTTATTTTTTATATTAGATAGCTTTTAGTAATAGTGGTCTAGTTTATATTGCTTAAAAATTGATTGATGTTACATAAAAAAATAGCCTACAGATATCCAATGTTGATATTAAAAAAGTGTATTACATTACATTAGTTTCCCTAGGGCTGATTGAAATCTGCAGGTCAAGTTATGATTTGACCACTCGGTTAATCTACAATATTCGTGTTCATGATCTTTGAAGGTAGTCATTAGATTTGGATTTTGTGATGGTAAACTGTCAAGCAACACTGACGAAATACATTAGTGGGGATGTTACAGAGGTTGATTTATGTGCTTGAGATCATTATATTTTCTGGATACATGTAGAATACACTTTCCACGCCGAATCATGACTTTTTCTTCAGTTGGTTGGGGCAGCCGAAAAGAGTAGCCTATCGTGTCACTGGTTCATTATCTCGTTGTCGCCTATCGACTAAAATGAACTTGTAATAGTTTCAAGCATATAAATCTGATGAGCATAACAACCAGGCTCAATAAAACTTCTATAATCAAATTTGAGGCAAGTCACTAGTGATAATATGATTATTATATTGATTGCGAAAAGTTTGATATTTATGGAGATCATTTAATTTAGATATTACTGACTGACAGAAACTAAATAATTGTTGATTTTCCAGAATAAATCACAAGGTAAACTAAGTTAGATAACCATTAGAAACCTGAGAGTAATAGACGGCCGTTTCAACTTAGTATACTAATCTTAAACAAAGTTCATCTACTACTTTGTGGCCGAAAATCGAAACCAAGACTATCGATTTGAAGTGTAAATGTTTAACACATTTATACTGCTATAATATCTTTGAAAAATCTTATTTATAAACCAAATCAAGAACTGAAGTGTTTGGAAATGTATTTCTGAGTTAATTTTTTAATGCCGACCCCTTTTTCATTGTGTAAATAGTCTTGTTTATTCTGTCAGAAACTAGTGCATATTATCTCCGATTCATTTATTTAAAATTGTTTTTTGTTCAATGTATAGATGTATTTGTGCATTTATTTATATTTACTCGTTTTGTGTATATGTAGATGTGTGTATGCATACAAGGAAAGAGTTCGACAAATACAAATAGAACGATTAAATCAAAACCGAGCCTTAATTTGTATTGTTCATTAATTGATATTGTCATTACTATTATTATTGCTCATCATAATCAAAAAGCATTCGTTATTTTCCTTCTATTCTTTTCACTTTATTCATTTTCTCTTTTCTTCTTCTGAAAATCTATTTTTTTTTTTTCATTTCAATATGCATTATTTTTTTCTCTCTTTTAATTCTTTTTCATTCGATGATGATGATGATGATGATGATGATGATGATGATGATGATGATCAAAGAGGATACTAACAATAGATTGATAATTGAATTTCATTTATAAAAAGAGTCAATTCGTTTAATGTGAAACATAAAAAGAATAATACTAATAAATAAATAAAAAAATGCATAAGATTTGTGAATAGAAATAAGAACGTGAATTAGTATGCACTTTATAATTTTTAATGACTAAAATATTTCGTTTGTAGACTCTATAACTGTACACACATCTTGTTTGATATCGTTAGTGATATATAACTGCAGAAAAAGCTGTTGTTTATCGACTTTAAAATACTTTGTATCTTGTTCTATATTGAAATATTTCAAGAGAATTGTTGAAATCCATGAATCGTTCGTCAAATATTGTAAAATCTTGATCAAAATATTTAATTTATAGCAAGAGCCACAGTGAAAAATTCGAAACTAATGTGTTAATTTAGTCCAAGTTTTTGGTGGTAGTATGCTGTGCAACCTAAATGGGCTGTTTGCAAAGTATTTCATGTCATTTTGAACATCACCAATTCCTATTTAGTTCAGAAATGAGATTTTCATTTCTCTGCAAAATATTATACCGATTCATCCTGATAGCTTTAATATAGGTTAGTTCTCTTCATAGGCTTGTGACCTTCATTTGTTCTTGCATTCATGATGATTAAATTTTTCAGGTGAGCGCTGGCCTTCAACCTAGTCATTTTGCTCAGAGAATGCAATATCACCACTAAAAGCATCCATTTAAATTATAAACTTCTCACGATGTAAAAAAGCTGTTATCTGGAGACTATGGATTGTTTCGAGAATTCTATTCATTGGTAACCTGACTGATTTGGGAATCTATACAAATCTGCTGTTATTGATATTAATCGTAATGAGAAGTTTTTTCAAAAGTGGTCGCCACCGGAGGTCGAACCCATGATCATCATCATCTTGGTGTGAACTAAAACTGTGGACGAGGATATTGTACGTTAGGAAATCTTTGTAGTTGATTTCTTGACTTCCAGTGAGAATTTATAGTCAATAGACTAACTGTGTAAAATTTGAGGTATTAACACACCAATGGCATTGAGAGGTTGCACAAATCGTGAATTTGTTGCAACTGAATATGTGAACCACTGGTTGCCTGCTAAGTTTTTAGAGGTTGAACTGTCTCCGCAATACAGGATGTGTTACGGTCACTGACACACACTAGTGAGAAGTCTCATACTTGAAAGAAACAATTGTCCATTGCTAAACAGTTTTAACTATCAAATAGAATAAATAACTGTTCTCACATACATTGTGATCCATTAATGAGTGTACAAGTGTTCTATATAGCACTATGTATTATTGTTTTGATGTTTTATAAAATTAAATTCATTGAAAATATGATAACTACAAATGTTAAGTTACTTAATAATTTTTGGTGAATTTAAATGTTTCACTAAACAAAACTACGAAGTTTCTGTGGATAACATTTCCAATAAACACATGATAGAGGCATCTTTGAAAGAAATAAGAGTAAGGACAAAGAAGACTCTATCAAGTATGAACTAAGATAATGCAGTGTGTATAAAACTGGTTGGTGCTCTTGTCATTAGGATAAAATAATATGCATCTTTGACGAGTGAACTTAAGAGACATAGTTTGAAGATAATATTACAGATTTTAAAAAAGATACTTTTGATTATCGACATTAAAACACCAATTTGTGTTTTGTGAAAAAATTTATTGATCTATATTTCATAGGATATCTATAAAATAATGTAATTATTGATCTATGTGGTATTATAAATAAGTGACCGAACGAGAAGGTTACATGATGACAATCAGAAACTTCCTAAAAGAGGAATGTATATCGTTGGAGAAGAAATGGATTCATTTTCTAAGGTTGAGGAACATATATATGATTCGGTAGCGAAAAAGATTTTATCTTCCACTTTTGCCTTCTCGTTCAAGTAACCAGTTTGGGAGGTAAGCACGTATAGCGCTCAAGTCTTGGACACCGTAAATCATAATAATTCCTCATATCAGATAATGAACAGAGAAATTTGTAAATAATTTCCAGGTTATGTATTTTAATTCTCCATATGTTGACTTGTTCGGATCATTTCATTATATCTATGCAGATTTTAGGAATAGAAACTGTATTGTAAATAAAACGAGATAACCCATTGTTTAACTCATCTCCAATGGTTAAATTACTATAATTCAACTAGCAAACAAACTCTAGTTTCTAACTACTTGTTTAGTTCATTGATATATTCATATTCATTGACATATTTGTCACAAAAGTAACAACATTAGATCTTGATTAGATGATTTGAAATAATGTGTAGTTTAAGTATTATTGAGCTTTCTATGTTCTTGACTATTCGCATTGTAAAACATTAGGTATAAGACCGAACTTCATTTAAAACAAGGTTAATATTGATAAAACATGGTAACTAAGACCAAGAAATGAGGTGATGGAAACGTTCAAGAACACACCCAACTAGATCGTAAGTATTAAATCCTAACAACCATTCATAAACACATCTGACAAGCACAGTATGGTGCTTTTGAAGTAGGTCATTCAGCTAAATCTGACTTGAACAACTAGATTTAATCAGGCACTAATCACATTGTTAATTGCCAACTAGCATTGGACATACAAAAATTCAGTATACATACATCCGTTTCATTTCATTTGCGTACTTTAAAAGTACTAATCAAACAATTCATTCACTGCACATTTTAACTAAAGATGTGTCATTAAACTTCTTTTTTTTTCATGTCACATAATGAATAACCACATGAGTGGTCACTTTTTATTGGTTGTTATTCTTCCCAGTGGAATAAGAATCAAGACTGGTATTTTGTATATTTTTTAAACAGCTGATTTAATATCTTGTTTCTTATTGGTTATCTAACATCATCTCTTTTATGATTGGATAATGACAAACTCGTTTTTCCATCTACACAAGTTAGACGAGTCATTCTAGTTCATGAACACTAGAGGAGTGACAACTCATGCTTTGAAGTCTAGTTCGGAATTTTAGACAGTAATTTCAATCTATTTGTTTCGTTCGCTTTTTCGTGTAAAAGCATCATATCTATTTTTTTATGATATGTAAATTAACAATTTATTCATAATAACAATAATATGAAATTCAAGGATTACTTTACAATTTTAACAATCCGGTTACTTGTTTGTACATATGCACTCATCAATAAACCATCAAATATTAAATTAAAAATCGATGAGGAATCACCATTGTATACAACTCTTGGAAATATTTCCTCATATTTATTCCTAAAATCAAAAATTACATCAGATTCAATATTTTTTACAGTCACACAAAATGGATTAATTCAACTGATAAAACGACTTGATTTGGAGTCATTATGTCCAGAACAATTTTTATGTTGTGAACGTAATAAACCATGTGAATTATTATCAAGTATAGTTATTGAAGGAATAAATTCAGATGAATTACAATTACTTGATTTACATGTCATTGTACAAGATATTAATGATCATGCACCACAATTTATTACTACAGGTCATAGTCAGTTGGTGAAAATTTCGGAATTAGCTGAAATCGGTTCAATGTTAAATTTAATTCCAGCTACAGATGAAGATATCTCTACAGATAATCAAATACAACGTTATACAATTCATGGTATTGAATTACAAGAAAATTTTGAATTAGATACAACTGATTTACCAAATGTACGTTTACGTTTAAATCAACCATTAGATTATGAATTAATTAAAAATTATAGTGGAATCATTGAAGCATGTGATCGACGTCAATGTACTCAACAAAATTTAACTATTCAAATTATTGATGCTAATGATAATAAACCAATGTTTTTACAACATTCTTATGAATTAACTATACCAGAAAATTTTAGTGTTGGACAAACAGTACTTGTATTAAATGCAATCGATAAAGATTCTGATTTAAATGCACGAATGAATTTTCAATTACAAGATGATGTTGATATGAATTTGAAGAGAACATTTCGATTAGATAGTCATTCTGGTCATTTAATACTTCAATCACGTTTAGCTGCACATCAACGTTCAGAATATCGTTTCACAGTAACTGTTAGTGAAGTATTAAGTAATCAAATTCAATCTGTTGACAGTACATCAGAATCATCATCATCATCATCATCGAGAATACCATTTACATCATCAGATACAGCAAATATTTTAATCACTATTCAAGATTTAAATGATTTTAGCCCATCGATTAAAATGATTTCACCAATAGAAGGTAAATCATTATCGATATTAGAAAATTCTGCAAATATACGTGTATGTGTATTACAAATTACCGATAATGATTTATATGATAATGGTCGAGTACAATGTCATCTTGTAACGAATATATTTGATACATCTAGTAATAATAATAATAATAATTCATTGAATTCTACTATCATAATGAACGATTCCTCATCATCATCATCATCATCATTTGAATTACAACAAACTGGTAATCATTATACTTTATTCACAACACGATCATTTGATGCAGAATTAGAATCCAATATCATAGTGAATATTGCATGTACCGATTATGGTATACCACCACGTTCATCTAATCGTGAATTATTAATTAAAATTGATGATATTAATGAATATCCACCAGAATTAGAACGAATTAATTATTATGCTAGTATAATGGAAAATATTAAATCTGGTATAGAAGTTGTACAAGTAAGTTGATTATTTGTTATTAATTCATTTTTAATAATTATTATTAATCTAAACTAATGTATATTTCTGCAATGAACAAAATTTGTAATATATTTAGAGAAGACACATTTGACATAGAAACTATGTACACTGAATTTTTAAACTTACATTTACAAAACAATCAGATTATTGACCATTATCTTTCACTTTTATTTTGGTCTTCGCGTTATGCATTCCAATCCGACACTCTTCTTTACGGTAACAATTGCTGGATGACACTCTACTGCACACATTCGAGTATAATTCACCACACTTTCATCATGGGTTTCATAATATTGTTAAGTTTTGTTAAAATTACAATCCGATCTAATTTAACCAAGTACTAGACATCAGCTCCATTCCAGTTGGGAAAAATAATCACTTAACCGATAGGCCACTGAATCATGATTCAGTAGTGTAAAAATTAAAATTATGTATAATTATTTTATTTCTATTCCTGACTGATTGATTAATTAAGTTATTGGTTTCGAATATACTACTAATGATACAAATTGCATGTTTATTTAAATATCCCGTTTATTAGTGAATTCTGTCAACGCAAAAGTGTCATTTAAGTATGTAGTGAATGGTTGTTACTGAAGCTCACTAATCGATTAGTTGATGACAACATATACTATCCTTAATGATAATTAACAACTCAATCATAAATACTATCAACCGTGACTTGGGAAGTTCAGTGATAGAATTTAGCTGCACTCAGAACAATATATTTCCCATACGATAGCTTTTAGTTTTCGAATTAGATCAGTTTTCTTTATTTTTATGGATTATAATCTTTAAAACTATTTTATTAGTAATTAGATGAAGTTCGATATCGACACCATTGAATACGCCCGACTCATTGGTTTGGAAGTTGATCGTTTAGGCGCGAGACTGAAGGTCCTGCATTCAATTACCATGTCTGGGCTCTTGGATGCACACTGCTGATTAGTCCGGTCTTAGGATCATATTACAATTCAGAGTTTTCAGGTTTCTACTAGTGATCTAACATTGATCAGTTCATGATTTCAATGAAACTCAACAGTTTTTACAACCCTATACTCAATTAGTAATCTTTTGAATTTTGTCTTTAAAATGAGCGCATAAGCACACATGCACACACTGTCACATATTTCCATTATAAGTACTCCGGTTTTTTTTTTAATGGGAATAAAAACACAACTTCCATTCTCTTATTCACTTTACTAAGGTTTCACATTCGGTTTTATTTTTATTACACGATCTATATGTCAAAATTTTACAGGTTAAATAAAAAATGATCACGTTTCTATTAATTCCATAGACTTAGAAATCATTTGAATGAACAACACAGATATAGTACAGAAATAACGAAGTACTAGTAGTCAAAGGCTCTAAGAGTGGCTGTCTGAGAAAAACACTTCTCGTCACGTCAGTCAGACAGTAACTCAACTCACACACAAATTCAATGATTTGTCTGGTGCATAAATATTTGCGGGTCCCTTTGTACCAATGTTTATGTGCTTAAATTCGTTAGATTTTCATCTTAACCATTATAGTCAGAAATTATATACAGTTGAGCTAAATAAGGCTGTACTTATACACCAACCTTCATTCTATGTGTATATCATGATTAGTAATGCTCCTTGACTATGAACATCGATCATTATTATTTTTTGTAAACCAAAATGTTCAATAAACTATATTTTATAAGAATAAATAATGCCAATAATTCTAATAAAATTTATGTTTATTACCTGTGAATTTTTTATCTAACACATGAATATTTATTTCATGTATATTTATTTCCATGTTTATATTTTAAAAATTATTGACAAGGTTTATTTTGTTTGCTTATTTTGTTTTACTGTATATTTTTGTCTAGACTTTTAAAGGACAAAAAAACTATTAGGTGCATACACATTCATGCATGAATGCCAGGTCATCATTTATCATAAAACATATGTAGTTTATTTATTGAAATGTTTCTGTTGACAAAAAAACATCTGGGCAACAATATATGTAAACAAACTACTTATGAAGTGATATCATGAATTAGTATTGTCGTTGTAATGGGATATATATATATATATATATTCCTATCTGACTACGAGAAAATGGTTTATTTACGATGAATAACTCCATTTTGACGTACAAAGTTTTTCAATAAAAAAAATCCCACCATACGTGTAAATATATAGATTAATTTCAGTGATTAATGCTTAGATTCACATTGTCTTTGCAACTATTCTTTTTTTCGGTATGTGAATGAATGAATAAGATAAGTATTTGAATTTTTTAGCTAATGTTCATCACGAACTGACTTGATTGTAGATAGCGCTAGAAACTAAGAAGCAATGAACTAATGTTTTGTCTTAGAAAGTGGTTTACTGGCAATGTGCATCCATGGCTAAGATAAGAATCGAACATAAAACCTCCAAGTCTTCGATTATGGACAAGAGTCAAACAGTCATCTAGTGTCCTTTCGTTTTTCAGTAATATATCAAGCAATGTCAATCCTTGACAAATTAAACTAATCTTCATAAGACCTCCAGATCCAATCTATTTCAATTTTTTTCTTGATAGTTTTTCTTAAAATATGATCATTACCATCATTTGAATTAATGTGATGGTTTGTTTTACCATGGTTTCATAATGATTATCTTAATATTGTTTTTGAAGAATAGATCTGCTAAAATATGCTCACCCTAGAATTGTAATTATTTTAAATCATTGTCTTATGTAATCGTGGTCGTTTACAAGAAATATAACCTCCCGAAATGCTCTGATATGACAACACGTATATAGCTGCTGTTAAGGAAGTACGATTCACTGCCCTCTAGTTGGTAAGGTATGGTCTACACAATTGAAAGAACGAAAAGCGAATATCCAGTGCTAAAACTAGGTTGGTGAGTACAGAAAATTCATCCGTAGTGTACACGAGCTCCACGATCCTGAGGGGAGAAATGGCAAATGAAACGATTGTTGATCAATGGCTACCATGAGACTGCTCCACTATCTTGATCAAAGGTTGGGATAGTAGCTCCCTAAGGAGACTGCCTTCCGTTTGTGTAGCCGGGTAAATATCCCAACCCATATACAAATTCATTGATTTGTGTGGCGCTTAAACATTTAGGTGTCACTTTGTGTGAATAATTGTATGTTCAAATAAAAAAAATGGTAACCCTTACTCAACCAATCAATTATTTGTTAGCAAATTAGAACTTCATACGTACGTACGTACGTACATCAGTTCATGTTGCCATACCACATTAGCACAGATATGTAATTGTCAATTCAAATCCCATTGTAGTAGAATTAGTAAAAGTACTGGCAGTAATCGGAGATTAGGATTAGAAGATAATATTCAAGAAGTAGAATATATTGAAATAAACTTAAAAAGATAAAGATAAAGTGATTAGGAATTGAGAAGATTAGAATTTCAGAGATCACAGTGAATGCCCCAGTGCAAACGGTTTTGAGTCCTGTCATTCAAGGTTTCTAACCATCGATAACTATCATCTGGCGGAACCCAACCAGGGTAGTCGACACCTACCAACATGACCTAAGTTAGGCATATGTAACACATGTCCTAACCATCTCAACTGATGAAGTTTCACTACTTCATCTATTGAACACGTTCCCTAACAACAGCATTGCTTACTCGGCTGTCCCGCGATACTCGAGAAACGCTTCGGAGACACCTATGATCGAAAACCAGTAACCTACAAATACCTTCTACTTTGACTGGCCATGTTTTGCATCTGTATAGTGGGGCGGAGAGAACTACTGCGCAGTACACTCGTCCTTTAGTCAGCAAACAGATATCTCGCGTACGCCATAGGTGACTCAGTTTGGCAAAAGCCAATCAAGCCTTCTGTATCCGTGCTGAGATTTCGTCAGTCACCAGGAATCGGCATTGATGAGTCTCCCGATATAAGTGAAGCGGTCAACATGCTCAACTACTTCACTCCCTATCACTAGTTCAGGTGTCGATACAAGTCAATCCTGAAGCAAATTTTTGCATTTCGAGGGTGTGAATCGCATCCCGAACATGCTTGCATTGTTGCTTAGGGTAGTCAGAAGAATGGACTTTGTCAGCGTTTTCACCGAACAGGTCTATGTCATCAGCATACTCTAAGTCAGCAAGCGTGTTTCCTGGTAGAAGGTTTACTGCTGAAAATTCAGATGAAGATAATGTTAACTGCAAAAGCATGTCTACGACAAATTTAAACCAGAATTGACAGAATGGACAACCCTGACGGACACCACTTGAAGTAATCAATTCCGATGACAGTTCGCCGTAGGCTCTCACTCGACCAGTTGTGTTCGAGTGGAGAGCTTCTATAAGGTTAATGTACTTCTTTGGTACACCTTTCAATGACAGATACTGCCAAAAATCCTCACGATCCACAGAGTCAAACACCGCCCTAAGGTCGAGAACTACTACTATTTTAGGACGTCTGAACTCCGGGAATTCCCTCTTGAATCTTAGTCACCAGTGAGAACTTGATAATTATCACTGTTTGTTCAACTCACTCAATCCACAACCGTATACTGACGCTTCTTAGTACTTGGAAATTTTCTACTCTTAAAACTTCGACAGAAAACAAACGACGAAAATAATGTAGGTAGTTTCACTTAGATGGTTAGTTTATGATTCTAGAGGATTAATGTGATGTAATAACTTGAGCTGACACACACACACATATGTGTATCAACTTCTGTGTTACAAATGATTGACTAACTAATTAAGTCAGAAAATATCATACTAATGTAGAGAATGATTATTTTTAATTATATTTAAATTAAAACTAAATTACATTTAGACGTTACTTTTAATGAATAGATAATTGACTTCTTTGTGTGTGTGTGTGTGTGTGTGTACCCAGAGAGAATTCATTAAATTCTCTTTTTTTCGCCCAAGATACATACATACAGACGTATATATATACATATATATATATATATATATATCTTTATTTTGTTTGTTCGTTAGTGTG